TTGTCCACCAGTGAAGTTAATAGATCATGAACTCTTGATCATCAAAAAAAAAAAAAAAAGAAAAAACAAGCAATGTCACCTTTCTTACAGTATAAGCAAAACACATTTATCACAGGAAGTCTGTTGCTCTGTCATGAGCTCAGGTATAAGATTTTAAGGTGTAGATTATTTTAAACCTGTGCTGTCTGGAGCTTTGTAAACCCAACTTCTGCTTGCTGCATGTGTGGTTTGAATCTAAAGCCTGCTACCATTTACTGGAGAAATCATCTAAATGTCACTGGAAATCATCATATGTGAGGTTTCACCCTGCTTTTTAAGGACAGGGCGCTGATTTAAAATAACCTAATATCTTTCACATTTTGGGGTTTATGAAGGTGACAGAATCATGTCGGCACAACGTAGTTGTATTTAAATGGTTTTACGTCAGTTTCACATAATTTTATACTTCATAAAGTTGTTGGGTTCCAGATTCTTTGACAAACAGAAGAGACTGATTCAATGCACGAGTATTTAAACAACCGAAGATACTGACTGCTCACTGTTTTGCATGCAACCACCTACCACCGTATGAACTTATGCAGCACCACATCTCTACTTGTAAGGACATAAGCTCAGTTTGTCACTAATATAGGGAGACTAGACACCAGTTCAGTCAGCAAAAAGTTTGATTAACATTAGATGCTCAAAGCAGGCTGAAAATTCGGAGCGATATAATATTGCTTAGCGTTTATAACCACGTCTTTCTAACGTGATTTCAGAATGCAAGCTAATGGCCTTACAAAGAATAAGATAGAGCTACTGTTGCCATTAAAAAAAAAAACAAGAATAAATACAATAAAGGAAAACACTGACAAAACAAATTTAAACAATAAGGCCTATGTGTAGTACGTTTACCTTATCCCACACTGGGCCATCCTCTGACGAACAGTTCGCTCACACACTCCAAACAGCTGTGCGATGTCCCGCGCCGTGTGCCCCCAGAGGAGGTGAGCTTCAATTATATTGGGGGGTAGAAAGTACGATGGACGTCCTGCAGTTCCTTCATGTATCTCTGAGAGGATGTAAAGTTGGTGGGTTGCTTCATGAAGACCGTTTAAGACTTCTGGATCAACTTCCACATCAATATATGCATTTATCTGAGCCAAGTTATCCATTAATCCTTCCAGACGAAACTGGTGATAGTCATTGAGTGCATGGTTGTCTAAGTCGTTTGCTAGTGATCTTAAACCATTTGCAACTGTTCGCAAAAAAACTGCCATTCATAGACGAGTGGAACAAAACAGAAATGTCAACAAGTTCAGCTTTGGCTTTGTAAAAAGCCAACAGCACCAGTCCTGTGCACCAGGGAGCTCTGTCAGCAAGGGGAAAGCAATAGAACTTAATTGATCAAACTTCTGCAGCCAATCCTGCATTAGGGTGGGATTAGAGCCACCCACCTCATTAGCATACAGATACAGAAATACAGAAATAAATAATTGTAGAAATGCAGAAATAAATAAAAGAAAATTACCTTTGTAGAAATGTAGACATATAACAATTTAAAAATGCATTTAATTATATATTTATGCATTTAATTTTTTTTTTAAATATTTATTTTAGCATAAAATTATGTATTTTTTCTTTTAATTATGCATTTATTTAATTATTTATTATTTTACTTATTTATTTCTGTATTTTTTATGCATTAATGTAGTCATTTATTTCTAATTAAGTCATTTTTCGTTTTTGTGTGCCTGCAGTTTCGTCGTTCATTGTGGATGCTGCAGTTGTGTGTGTGTCCAGTGGGTGGCAGCAGCGAGGAGGGCTGCAGCTTGTTGTTGATGCTGAGGAAGCGTCTCCACTTCTGCATCTGAGAGGAGAGACGGGCACCGACTTCCTGTGAGAGCTGACTTCAGCCGCCTGCCGCTGCTCCGGGAGGTTTGTGCTCTGCACACCGGGGAGGAGGGACCCCTTTGCAGGCGGTGTATGGCTCGGAGGGACGCTTGGGAATCTCCGTGCAGCAGAAGCCCCAGAAGCAGCACAAATCGCAGCAGAAACAGCCATAAATGCGGATTGTTTCCACCGGTGGGTCTGCTCCCCCGCCACAGTGCGCCTCCGAGCGACCGCCTCGGCTCAGCAGCGACGCCGCAGTGAAGCGGTGCTGATGGCCCTGGTACTCGGCCCGGCCTTCATCATCACCACCCTCATCAACCTGCGTATCTGCTAGAGAACTACAGGAAGCCATATACATTAGAGAAGGGGAGGAGGAGCCGGGGCTCGGGCGCAGCATCGCTCCGGGCTTGGTGCTGCGGTGTCGGAGGGAGCGGATGAGCAGCTGACCCAGAGATGGCTGTCCTCAAACTGGCCGACCAGGTACAGCTGCTAGCTTTTAGCTTAGCCTCTATAAAGGCTGCACAGCTTCTTACACTTCAGTTCACTGTTTACTACTGATTAATGTCGCACTCCTCTTTGTGTCTCACTCCGGGCCTCTGGTCAGACAAGTCAGAAAACAAAGCTGCATTTCCACCGTGCACACAGTGCACATGAAACATTCACAAAGCTGCACGAAACTGGGCGGAATGTTCTGGTTTTTGGCTAAAATGTTCGATGATTAGTTAAAATTAGGACAGCTCACTTCTCAGATACTTCCTGTTCTGCTTCCTCCTACAAGCATCTTCTGAACTGCACACGGCAAGTGGCCTCGATAATCAGTGTAACAGTGCGCGTACTAAAGTGCACGTCGGAGGTACTTGTACTGCACTTAGTCATTTCTAATTGATGATACATTTACTCCACTGCAATTCGCAGGAAAAAATTGTACTGTAGTACTTCTGTTTGCAGTTACTTCATCAGTTACTGTAGTTCTGGCATCGTTTGATACATCAAAAAATGGACATTTTCATTGCTCTTGAACTACAGAGCTGGAGCCTCTGTGCCAATATACTGCACATTATTGCTGGAGAGCCAGAAAATACCTGAAAGAGCTGATAAAAGAGGGAGCAGAGTGTAGAGGGTGAACGCTGGCACTGACCTGAAAGTGAAACAAGAGACCTTTGTTCCATTTTTCTGAGTTCAGATTATTTGGTGCTGCGCTATTCTTTAGAGTTTTATACAGTGAAAATGTGAAAAATTGATTTTCACATGTTGATTTCTTTTGCATTTATACACAGTTTCATCTATGATACTGAACAGTAAAGTTAAATAAGTGACATAGATTGAAAGCCAAACGACGTATGGTCACATTGTGCCCGAGTGACTCACGGCATCTTTGGGTTTTTGACAGTTGGTCAGACAAATCGAAGCAGTTAGAATACAGTATGTTCAATGAGGCTTCAGGGAATAATGATGAGCATTTTATACCCTGGACAATCGATCGATCACTTTTGAAGTAAGTACGTTTTGTTGTGTGCGTGCAGCCTAGGAAGTAACACTGTAATTGTATAACGTGATGTGTAAACTGCTGCTAATAATGAAATGCTGGCTGCAGATTCACTAGTGTGGCCACAGAGCTGTGGTATCTGGCACAAATTGGTGTTGGGTTTGCATGTGAAGGACCTTCACATGCAAACCCAAAAATCCCTCTTTGATAAGATTTAGTGTCAAGGAGACATATCTGAGGGCCTGACAAAGAATCTCAGTACGAGGCCTGTAGTAGCGGCTCAGGAGGAGCTTCCTGTTCTTGAATGTAACTGCAGAAACGCCGCCTTTACTACTGTGTGATCAGCGGAGTGAGGTGAAATAATCAGTGCCGTCCTGCAGCTCCCTGAGCCTCAGCTTGGGAACCACCGTTCTGTAAAAGCATAGCCCCGTGTTCAAGTTTCCACCAGTTTGAAAATGATCCCGGAGAGTTTGTTCACGAACAAGTGGCTCTGAAAAGAGACAAGAGTGTCTGGGCACAGATCTCTGATCAGCCTCATCAGCCCAGGCTAGTTTTGTCTGATCTGTCAGTAACTCCAGGGATGGGAAGAACAGCTCTCTGTGCAACTCACAGCTGTGGGACTTTGTGTTGTTTTCAGACAACAAGCCGATGGTGTCTGATAAGTGGACGCCTCAGCTCAGGAGGCAGCTCAGATGTTTTTCTGTTCTGTTATCTTGTGCTGATTTGACAGTGGGTCACATGAAACTGCTGTTGTAACTGATGTTACAAGTCATGCACCATGGAGGTGTGTAGGTATTCATGTATCCGCATGTAAACTCGCTGAATTCAGTTCTCACAAAAAGGCCTTTTTGTGTCTCTTAGTGGTCATTTTGCATCTCTCTGTAGTCTTTTAGTGCCTATGTGGTCATATTGTGTCACTTTGGGATAGTTTTGTGTCTCTGTAGTCTTTTTGCTGTGCGCTGGGACTTTCAAACAAGAAATATTAATAATTGACACTTCATATAGATGCTCTGGACCAGCAGCTCCTTGACTCCTGTGCCCCATGAGGCCCATTCAGTAATCAATACTTGGATCCAGGTCATGTCTGATTAGTTATGTTAGTAGAAATGATTCTTATGTACAGTTGTACTAAAGTAGTAAATCAAGCAATAAGAATGTTTATTACTTTAATCCCGTGCATGAGCTGTGCATCATTGCCAGTGCTGCTTGTCCAACTATTGATCATCTACACTACAGTGACGCAGCACCTGGCTGCATCTGTACCTTTGGCTTCACGCAGTGATTTAGCTCGCTGCCAACAACCCTCTCTCACTGGAAGCTGTTTGTATTAAACCATATTAAACCACCCTAATGGGACAAATTGTAACAGCCCACCCAATCAGTTTGACCTGGCAATCTGAAGCCAGTAGTCCAGTTTGGCTCTGCTGTGAGGGGCCATGTTGAAGAGGTGCAGTGGGTTCTGTGCTGCTCTCATGTTGCATGTTTTAGTTTTAGTGTGGTATCTGTGCATGATACTGCAAGCTTTTTTTGTGTTGGCCTCATATTTCCACCATACAGAGTGCAAAGGAAGTGCAGGAAGTTGTTGACTTGTGACTTTCTGCAGCAGCACTGTGGTGGTCATGCTCTCTGCCCTGGACATGCGCATGTACACTCATCAGGTTTCCTGTGTCTCCCTCCTTTCTCCTAGTTTTTGATGCAGGTGTCCTATACTGTTTCCTGTGTCTGTTTTAGGCAGGTGAGAGATTCAGGCCTCTTTCTTTCTTTTAAGGCCCTGTAGGCAGAGACTGAGGGAATGCCAACATGCAGAATAGTGCGTTTTGATTTAGCACGTTTGCCCTGAGAAGGAGGAGTGGCCAGTTAAAGGCCTGACACCTCGGGCATCAGAGGAAGTGAGGACACAACTGTAGAGCATGGAAGTTGTGTACGTGTGTGCTCGGGATACACAGGTTAGCCTGTGTTTGTGTGTGTTTGCAGCATGTCTCTGGAATGAAAACGGAGTTAATCTGGCACAGGAAGTTTGTGTAGGATGAGAGAAAGATGAGGATAGAAGGGGAAACCTGTGTGTTGGTCAGTCATATGGATGGGGTCCTGACTCAGCAGGGACAGGACCAGACTGTTTTTACTAACGGGGTTCAGGTGTTTTCACTATTGCTGCGTGGAAATATGTGTGTGTGTGTGTGTGTGTGTGTGTGTGTGTGTGTGTGTGGGCGCAGCAGTTTAAGAAGCTGTTAATTAATCAACAAGATCAGTGCATACAGTAGAAAAACATTTGGACAAGTGACGTGCAGAGTTATGCAAACAGCATGTTTCACATTTAAGTAAGAAAAGGTTATAAGATGTGGATGAATGCATGAGAGTCATCCTGTCATCCAGGCCGATGACATGACAATTCATCCTTGGCCTCAGAAGAGAGGTTAAGTAACTACCTTAGGACGGAATACTTAGCCTAGCATGCAAATGTTAGTAGCACACAGGTTCTTGCTCTTTTGCAGTTGTGTTTGTGGTTCAGGAGATGCAATAAAAAAAGACTCCTCTTTCCACTGTTCATATACAGTGTCACTCTTAACCTCTAGAGTCCCTGCGTCCTCATATGAGGACCGCACAGCTTGGGTTTCCAAAGCTCAGGACTCTAGAGGTTAAAGACCCGCTCGTACTCGTTTTGTGTCTCTGTGGTCTTTTTGTCTTTTTGTAGCTAATGTGGTGACTCTTTATAGCGGTCTAGTCCTTTACTACAGCTCCATGCACACACAAAGCATGTGAATGAATCCCGTAGCTGTTTGGAAAGAGCTTCAGGAAACAGTCGGGTGATTATCATAAATACATCCAACGTGCACATACTGTATGCAGAAGGCCATTGCAGCCAGTGCAGACATACATATTGTGTTGGCTGGATGGTATGTTCTGTGCATTTGGACCTTTTTCTTGATTCAGGCTGAATGGTTTTATGAGTATTTGATAGTTTATAGCAACCTTATTAAAGCTTACTGCTCTAGAACTGTTAGTTTTAATGTCTTTGAGCCAAACTGAGCGAATCGTTGCCAGGTGTTAATTCCAAAACAACTATTGGCTGTGTACTGGCTTAAGGTTTTAATTATTCTCAAATATTTATCAACCTCAAAGCTCCAGTACTGGTTGGTTTGTGGCTGCTGGTATGTGTTGGAGGGAGTGATGTCATTCACTCACAAACACACTCTCCGAACCTCCTTCCCAGACTTGTGCCAGCACCAGTCTCCCTGGCTCCCTGAGGCGATCACAGACACAGCAGTGAGACAGGGGACCCCTGCCAGCGGAGTGTGTGTGTGTTTTTTTTTTTTTTTTTTTGCATGTGAAGCACTTAGAAAGGCAAAGTTAAAGAGACCATATGCTGCCAAGTGCTGGCTGCGCAGCCCCCTCGTTGCTGCGCAGCCCCCTCGTTTCTCTCTCCAGCTGGGACCTCGTTCACAACTCTCTGTCCTTTTCCTTTCCCTCTTTTATCAGCTCTGCTCAAAACAACGAGGAAAGACGGGACAAATCTACACGTAGTTCCTTGCTGGTGATGGTTTCTGCTTTGTTGGGCGGCAGGAGGTTATGTCTTGGGGCGAGGGGGCGTGAGGTGTGACAGTTGTGTTTGAAGCAGCCGCCCTGTATCTTCCTGTTCAGACAGTTGAGTCTGACCTCCAGGAGAAGTTCGAGGTGAAAGAGGCATCTCTTAACACCCCATAAATGACATAGAAATGTTTAATCTTAGGCCCCATTCAGACCGGATTTATTTCTCTAGGGAAGTTTGGGTGATTTTGTAATGTTTCCTCCCATGATCAGTGATTTTACTCTGGTTTGATCAAATATGTGCAACAGGTTCAGTTTTATAAAAGGAGTAATACTTTGCTATTGGTAGCAGAACACCTGCCTGTTTAGAAGTAAGATGATGTGATGAGGTGGCATTACACCAGAATTAAACTCGCGGGGGAGTCAGACGAGGAAGTGGTATCGTTCCGTGCTCTCTTTGTAAAGCAGAAGTGAAACGCTGCTCTGCGGTTCCTCTCTCTCGTTTCTGAGAAGGGGAGGCTGTGCAACAGGAAGTGAGGCAGCTAGTGGGGACAGGAACACACAGGAAGTGAACTGCCTGATCCGATTCATCAGTAACTCATCCAGCCTGCGCTTAGTGCTCAGTTTATTAGGTACACCTGTCTCAAACTACGTCAGTCTAATCCAACAGTCCTCAATCCGTGAAGGTGATAATGTTCAGTTTGTGTTCAAACCAATCACCACTCTGCTGCTCTTAGTTTCTTTTTTGTAATAGAAATGCAGTCGTCTTCCAGCTGTCCTCTTTAGTGTAAAGGATTTGCAGAAAGTGTTTGAAAGGGCCATTATTAGGTGAATGAAGCCGGTAGCTCTGTAAGACATTAGAAATGTACAGCGGCAGAGTGTTGAATATGACCTGCTGCTTCCTGCTGTAGCTGATGACACTGTGAGAGCAGTGAGGCAGTAAAGTTGCAGCCAGGACACTGAACAATGAGCTGAGAGTCGGCGTAACGCCAAGAAAACCTACAAGTTCGGCTGATGATCCTATTTGTCGCAGTGTTTTCACGTTGTGAGGTGATACAGCACAGAATCTAGCTGCCTGAAGGGTTGTCAGCTGTGATATAAGGTCCACATGACCTACATGGTCACTGGTGTGGTCCTGACATGTTGTTGGCATCCTTCATTGAAAAACTTACTTTTTTATACCCTGCTTCTCTTCCTCAAAATGCACACTGCTGTGTGTGTGTGTGTGTGTGTGTGTGTGTGTCTGTGTGTATGTAGGGCCTCTCATGTGTGGTCCATGAAGGAAAACAGAGGCTTCAGAGATGTGACCTCCCCATAATGCCCTTCATTAAGGCTCCTTCTCTGCACAGATGCTTTATTTTCATGCTCTGTATCTAAAAGAATTTTCTTCAACAATAGCTTCTGTGTGCGGTGGCAGATTTCTTGGTCAGTCCTGTCTACGTGTAGGAAGTGAGCAGAGTAATAAAGAATATTTTCTCTACAGTGTATAGTATGTTAATGTCTCATAGTCATGGGTGGTTTTGGTCTAAGATCAGAGACGCACAAAAGATCTAAAGAGACACAAGACAACCACGATGAGATGAAAAATTACTGCAGAACCAAAATGACTACAAACACACACGAGATAAGTGCAAAGAGATACAAAATGACTACAAAACAAAGCACAGTGACTAAAGAGAGACACAAAACAACCACAGAAGGTGAAAAATGAGGTCCAAAACGACATCAGACTCACAAAATGACCACAAAGAGATGCTAAACAACTGAAAAGTGTCTGATTCAGTTTGTGGGTTTTGCTCTGACAGTGTGTAGTAGGGTTTTCACACACGTCTGCCCAGGGGTCCACTGTCCCACAATCCGTCATGCTCACAGTAACGTTCTCTGCTCAGCTTCTATAAACACTGCAGCCTAAAGTCAGCTGATCACATGTTGTTGCCTTTCGTAGATGTTGCCTCCGGTTGTGTGTTGCTGAACGTCTCTCCTTTCTTCCCTCCAGCCTCCTCTCATCCAGGCGATTTTCAGCGGAGACCCTGAAGAGATCCGTATGCTCATATACAAGTCTGAAGACATCAATGCTCTGGTGAGGACACACGCACGTCCCCCCCCGACCATAACCATCATGGTTGCACCTAAATGCCTAAACCTGATTCTAACCTGAACCTTAAAACCAAGTCTTAACCCTCACTTTTCAAAAATGTCCTCACTTTGTAGCAAAAAAAAAACGTAATGCTAATGCAAACATGGCAGAATCATTGTCACGTGAGACTGAGGTCACACTGGGATCTAAGTCACACTCACAAAAGGATTTATGACGCAGCAGAGAGCGGTTAGGAAAAAACCACCACTGAGCCGCTTTGCTTTGGTGTTGATACCAGCAGTGGAGTATCACAGTGGGAGTTGTATAGAAGTGTTTTAATGAACCACAGCCCCACTCTTAACACCACGCTGCTCACTGAGCTTGAAACTCTCCTGTACTTCATGTCGCCCTCCCTCAGGATCCAGAGAAGCGCGCCCCGCTGCACGCAGCGGCCTTCCTGGGCGATGCCGAGATCACAGAGCTCCTCATCCTCTCCGGTAAAGTTGCTTGTTTTTCCTGCTCTGTCGGTTTCTGTCATCTTTTCCTGTTGTCTGTGTTTTAATGATTCGATGCCGGTTAAAGGATAGCTGTGAGGTGAGCGATTTTCCAGTTTGGTTTGTAAACGTGGTGCTGCACCTCATCACTACCATATTTGTCTCTCTTCTTCCCATGCTGTAGGGGCTCGGGTCAACGCCAAAGACAATATGTGGCTCACCCCTCTCCATCGTGCCGTGGCATCTCGGAGCGAGGTGAGCGCGCACACACACGCTCTAAGTCTATCTTTTGTTTTTCCCACAACATCAACTCAAGCAGCACAGAGAGAAATCCTCACTGTGTGGCAGCTGCAAATAGTGATATTTACCTGACAACAGACACACTCATCACTCTCTCTCTTCCTGCACTCTCACATACTTTCCTCGGCCCATGTTACGACAGTTCCATCTTTGTATGCGTCATGAATCAAAGCAGTCAATCAGCCACATCACTCCCAGTGTCCAAACAGGTATTTCAGCATGGCTGGAACACCTGGAGGATGCGTGTTAGTGGTGAGGCACAGGTGGTGTACACATCCAGGAGTATGAATGGGCAACTAGTGGAATCATGTGCTGTGGCCTTCACACTTACCAGATCTCAACCCAGCTGAACACCTATGGGAGATGTTGGACTGCATCAAAACACCACTTGGAGAGTCAAGGTGCACTGAAGCTGTTTTGGTGGCACATGGTGGCCCAGCCCCTCGCTGAGGCCCTTTATGTTGGGCTGTCCTTTCATCTATACGTGCTACAGACAAACAAGACATTAGACCTCTGAAATCACACAAATGGAATTATCTTCCATTAACAGGTGTTTTGTTGTGAAGGTAGAATTTATGGCAGAGCTGTTGTGCCTAATAAAGTGACACCTGAGTCTACCCCAGCAGCTGAAGGTGGCTCCTACAAATGTTTTGTGAGGTTTTTCATGTATGAAAACACACAGTGTGGTTGCCATTCTCCCTCAGGAGGCAGTGCGAGTTCTGATCCGCCACTCAGCCGATGTCAACGCTCGGGACAAGAACTGGCAGACTCCGCTGCATGTCGCTGCAGCCAATAATGCACTGCGATGCGCTGAGGTCATCATCCCACTGCTGAGTAGCGTCAATGTGTCGGACCGCGGCGGACGCACCGCCCTGCACCACGCTGCCCTCAATGGCCACACCGAGGTACTGCAGAACCTGACGGCTGATGTGCAGTTTGTAAACTAGCAGATGTGTTTTGTCATTTGCATCCTGCTGCAGACGAGCCGCTGTTGTAGTGCACCAGGACACAGGCCCTGACGTAACTGTTCATTGTGTTATTTTGGGTGAATGGCCTGGTTAATGGAAACAGGTGGGCGAGTGCAGCTGCATCACTGGGGTTATTAAGTGGGCTGTTCATTTCCAAACCCTCACGGTCTCAGATGGAACCATTCACAAAGGTGCTGAATCTAAAATTAGCAATGAGAGGCGGCAGATTGATGAAGCCGAGCTGAATGGACGGCTTGCTTATTTCTGTTTGACAGGCTCTCCTGAGCAAAAACTGAGCCAAGTGGTGAGGTGGATTTACAGAACCCTTACATAAAGACCCACACACGCTCTCACAAACATAAAAGCACAAAATACATCTCTGTATCACCCACAACTCCCCTCGCTCTCTCTCTGTCAGATGGTGAACCTCCTCCTCGCTAAAGGAGCCAACATCAACGCCTTCGACAAGAAGGACGGCCGGGCGCTGCACTGGGCAGCTTTCATGGGTAAAAAAAAAAAGCATCAAAAATATATTTACAGTGTATGAGTAAGGGCGTTTTACTTACCAACAATCAGACGACGGTAGATGTTGACCAGAAAACATCATGGCAAAATTAAATGATAAAAAAAAAAAACTTTAAATGATGACTCGTATACAACAAAAAATAAAGTGTAAACAAACAAAAAAGTCCAATACAATAAAATTCTGCCTGTAAACAGTTGTATTGTGCCTCTGTGCTAAGACTACAGCTGACAATTTATTAACACAGAATTCATCAGCTCCACTTTTGACAGTTCATTCATTGTCTAAGTGAAAATACCAAACGCTCTCTGGTCGCAGCTTGTTGTTGTTCTGTTTTAATGTGATAGTGAAGTCATTATTTTTAGGTTTGTGGCTGTTGGTTAGACAAAAGAAGCAGGAATCTGCGTTTGTCACTCTATTTCTGACATTTTCTTAGACAATTAGTTGATTAATTGTTAAAATAACATGCAGAATCATTGCTAATTAATTAATCGTTATTTTCAGGGCTAATGTGGTGTAGCCTTTTAGCATCATGGTCAAAAAATGTTGTCCTACCTACTGTATCAATAACTTCTTTGCAAGCTCTTGAGCACAGTGTAGTTAAGTATATGAGCGCTGATGCGCTTGCTTTTGTCATGTAAACAAGGTTTATCAGAGAAAAGCTTCAGTGTTTTTGTGCCCTCTGCAGGTCATCTGGATGTGGTGTGTCTCCTGGTGAGCCAGGGAGCAGAGATCAGCTGTAAGGACAAAAGGGGATACACCCCCCTCCACACGGCAGCCTCCAGCGGGCAGATCGCTGTGGTCAAACACCTGCTCAACCTGGCTGTGGAGGTCAGGACACACCACGCACACACGTGTCTTGCTATGATAGTGAGGACCCCCATTTACACAGTGCATTCCCTAACCATATCCCCACCATCACAGCTAAATGCACCCAAACTCCTACCTTAACCCAAACCTACAGTTCTAACCTTAAACTGCTGGTCAGAGGTTTTACAGCTCAAGTCCAGTGAATGACCTTAAATAGTACAAAGCTAAGAAGTAAACTGCCAAGAGGAAAAGAGGAAAAAATAAAAGTCAACAAAAACTAAAAATGTCTGTGCATGTCATATAAAACAGGCCTTTTTCAGTAACTTCCATTTTTTCTGAAGCAGTGGAAGTAAAGGCATTGTTGTGAGGACAGGTGAAAATGTCCTCACTCCCAGTGTGTAAAAGTCAAACCGGTCCTCACAGAAACAGACATACTACACCAGCCTCCTCCCCTGAACACTTATTCTCTGCTTCACACTTGAGGAAAATAACACGAACACTTGTTCTCTGTCTGCTTCACACTTGAGGAAAATAACACAAAAGCACTTATTCACAAGCTGAACACACATGAACATGCACACATCAGCACTGACACACATAACAGCTTGTGTTCTCTAACAACAGATAGATGAGGCCAACGCATTTGGGAACACGGCGCTCCACGTGGCCTGTTTCAACGGTCAGGATGCTGTCGTCAGCGAGCTGATCGACTACGGGGCCAATGTCAGCCAGCCCAACAACAAGGGCTTCACCCCGCTGCACTTCGCCGCTGCCTCTACACATGGAGCGCTCTGCCTGGAGTTCCTGGTCAACAACGGAGCTGACGTCAATGTGCAGGTACGCCAGCATATGCAAAGAGAGCCACAGAGGACACGCGACATGCACTTAGTTCTGCTGAATAAACCACAAACATGGTTGAGTTAACCTCCAAGGTGCCTTGGTGCAGGTGTAGTGGTGCGTATACCCACCTGTGGGTGGAGGGACTTACTGTACAACTGCCTCACTATAGCTACAGATACACACCAGTGCACATGTGCAAGCTACATTTGATTCATTCCCAGTGTCTGTGGTGTTAACTGCAAACTGGAGACTAAAACATGGACTCCCAGACTCCCAGTCCTGGCTCTGGTTGTTGATTTCTTTCACACACTATGACGTATGCATAAGATAGATAGGAAATGGACAGCTGTGCTGGACATCCATCCCCAGCCCAAGTCTAGTTCAGGGTTAAATTTCTGACCTTTTAAATAGCACATGGAAGGTTGTGTTTTGTGATCATAGTGTGAAATATACCACTGAGAAGCAGCAGGGACGATGAGGCCTGTTCACCAAGCGCATGAGTTTGCTGACATATGTCACATTTTTGTCAGTGTCCCTTTAGTGTATAACAGCCTGAGCTGAAATGATTAGTTTATTCATCTGTTAGTTGATTGGCAGACAAACATTCCGGAGAACGTTCCAGAGAATTTGCTGCTTTTTCCTGTCTCACATGATAGTAAACTGAACATGGTTTCCAGGCTGTGGCTCAGACAACATGAGATATTTAATGTTGTTAACTTGGGCTCCAGGACGTTGTGGGGTGGTTGGTGTTCTCAGTGTGGTATAGACCAAGCAAGTGATTGATACTAATTCAGCTTTAGCCCTAATAACAAAAAATATAATATTAAATCATTAAACACAGGAAATGTATAGATTTATTGGCCAATTAAACATACAACTAATTAAATATACAGTTATATTTAAGGTCTTTGTGAATAATATTAAGATGATTTAACACCTTTTAAAGGCCCAAACACACCCTGTAGTTGGATCTAAGTGAAAGCCTGTTACTGTGAAACATAGGCACCGTCTGATCTTGTGAAAGGAAATAAAATGTGTGCAAATATGAACTCTATGTGACGTGGTGGAAGAGACTGACAGGATCAGTCATCTCTGTGTGGTGGTGTTCCTCTGCTTAAAACCTGAACTCTGTTGCTGTATTTCTGCTCTGCCGTCTTCAGAGTCGGGATGGAAAGAGTCCCCTCCACATGACGGCAGTTCACGGTCGCTTCACTCGCTCGCAGACCCTCATCCAGAATGGTGAGAGCTCTTAATGCTTGTTTTTTTTTCCCCTTGGGACCTCTTCAGCCTACATTCATTGCAAATTCTCTCTGTAAAATACTGTAACTTTTTATTTCAGGTGGGGAAATCGACAGCGTGGACAAGGACGGCAACACCCCTCTTCACATTGCTGCCCGCTACGGTCATGAGCTCCTCATCAACACGCTCATCACCAGTGGAGCAGACTGCACCAGGTGGGGTTGTTCCTCTGCCGCCACACATTCAGTTAAATGATTGCAATAACAATGTACTAAGAGAGACTATTGTTTCCATTCTGTGTCTTTCGCCACAGACGAGGAGTCCATGGCATGTTCCCGCTCCACCTGGCCGCCCTGAATGCTCACTCCGACTGCTGCAGGAAGCTGTTGTCTTCAGGTAACACACAGTGAGCCAGGAAGTAGCAGAACATAGACCCTCCTGCAAAACGTAATACATCTTAGTTTGTGGTCATTTGATGAAATACAGCTTTATTTTGAATTACTCACCGCATGAGGACGACAAACTAAAGTAATAGACCACAAGGCGCCTCCACCAGCCAGAGGTGTTTTAACTCACGCAGTTGGTTATGGGCTGTCACTCAAACTGCTGTCGTTAACTTGTGTCTCTGATGTGAAACATAAAATACTCTGCATTTGTGCTTTTGACCTGAATATGTGCCGCTTCAGGGTCTGTTTCGCCTTGGTGTCATCTTCAGGGAGGCTTCAGCCGGCCTGTTTGTACCGCTCCATAAGCACTAGTCGCAGTGTTCCAGAAGCAGACAAAGGCTGCACTCACTGATGGGGCCACCCTCCCTCTGGATGTTAAATTCTCTTCCTAGAGAAGTTTCCTTGTTGTCCTTGGCAGTATTATACATTGTCTTTAATCCTCATGCTGTATATTTAGTTGTTTGTTTCCCGGGTTTAAATGTAGAAACTGGTATATGAAACAAATGCAGAGCAGGAGCAGCAGATCTGGCTCCAGATCTGTTGTGATGATTTAACAAGGCCTTGGCACTGGAATCTGGAGACATGGAGCAGGATGAGCCTGGGCGCCGCATGTGGCTCTGCTGAGTCACTGAGTGAACAGCAGAGAAGTCATGTGTCTGCTCAGGAACCACGAAGATTAGACAGCTTGTAATGAAGGTTAAACAGCCGTGGGACAAGACGACAGCACATATTGGTTGTGATTTATTTTTCTGTGACTGATGTTCTGGTACTCCACCCACTGTTTATGGTCATGTTGTGACACAAGTTGATTACATCTGTTCCTTCGTGTCACCAAGTGTAAAAACAAAGGCCCTTTAATGACACGACACGCTTTTAGCACATTAAGAACCCGTATATGATGGTGAACAACGTAGCTCAGCACATTTCCTGAGTTACTGGGAACATCTTTGGACTTCCACCTCACTGTCTCTGTGTTCAGACTGCGCTGCTTGCTACACGTTTGCTACCTGACTATCTGTGACCTCCTGACCACGTGTCTCTGGCTTGTTCCTTCTGTAACATGTAGCTTCCGTGTGATTTCCTGCGTATGCACAGCCAGCGTCCTGTCTCTTTCCCCCACCTGTTGCACTAATATCCGTATTTTTCTCTGCCTCCCCCTCTTCCTGTTTCCCTCTCTTTCTCTGTGGTGGCTGCTGCTCTGTGTTGTCCGGCCTCCCTTCGTCTCCCTGCGCTGCCCTCGTCAGGTCGGAGGTTTAGCATAATGTGTAACGACTCGGTCCTGTCTGCAGGCTTCCAGATAGACACTCCTGACAGTCTGGGGAGGACATGCCTGCACGCCGCTGCTGCCGGAGGGTAAGCTCTACACTTCACTGGCTGTATTCATACATCTTGCCACCCGTGCAAAACTTTAACATTTATCCCTATATTTTACTTTATTTGTGTATACTGAAAAACAAAAGTGGCTCTGCGCCTTTGGACAATCATAGCCCCTCTGCTCTCAACACTCAGCCCCAAATCAGAAAAAGTTAGGACAGTATATAGTGATTTGTAAATAATCTGTGTACCTCATCAATTTTATTCTTTGTTCAAAATAAACACTCACTTCAATCCTGATGCTGCAGCACATTCCAACCGGCTGTATTTCAGGGCCAGTAATGAGGTAAAACAATAAAATGATGATTCAATTTGAACCAGCTCAATATGTGACTGCATCATGATTTGGTACAAAATTGGCATCCAGTAAAGGCCGAGCCCTTTAGGAGCAGATGGGCCGAGGGCCGCCAGTCTGCCGACATATGTATGAGAGAATTATAGAATTTATTCCTCAAAGAAAGATAGGAAGGGATTTGGATCTGTCACTCTCTATGGTGCAGAACATGATTAAGAGAATCGGGGGGGATTTCAGTGCAGCATGAGACCAAATCCTGAGATCAAGAATCATCACCACAGGTCAAACAAAAAGCCATGACAACTGAGTGATTTCCTCTGAGTTATTAGGATCGACTTCACGCATTTACCCCTTAAAGCCATTGTTTTCACACAGTGTGAATGGTCTTTGTGCAGTAATTGTACCATCCTCTGTGCGCAGCAATGTGGAGTGTGTGAAACTGCTCCTGAGCAGCGGTGGAGACCACAATAGGAAGGACAACTGCGGCAGGTGAGAGAACATGCTTTTGTTCCGAACAGTAGCCTGTCCCAAACCATGCCTTTTTAGTTGAGAGGAAATAATTTACTATTGGACTATTAGTGCCTTGTATTAAGGACAGATAAAGGAGCTGCGCTCTTACCCAACCCCCACAGTCAGTGTGCATTGACCTGAGATTTCTCACAAGATGCGTTTTTAATATAAGGTTGTTAATTTGGAAAACTGAATAAAGAGCCTTTTTGTGAACTACGTGAAAAGTGTACCAGCTCTGAACTGTGAATTTTCATAGTCAGCTTTCTTCCTATATCCCTTAAAAACAAAGCCTCTAAACCTTATTGTTACTATTTCTCTCAATATCTGTGGCCAAGTTATGATGTCACTGATGAGTTTGCCTGACTTTGTCTCCCGATTATTTCCCAGAACTCCCCTCCACTACGCAGCTGCCAGCCGACACTACCAGTGTCTGGAAACACTGGTGGCTTGTGGCACCGCCATCAACGCCATTGACAAATGGGGGCGCTCTGCCCTGCACTACGCCGCTGCCTCGGACCTGGACAGGAGGTGAGGGATGGGGAGACACACGGTGGAAGAAGTAGCCAGATCCAACTGAATCTTTTCTTTTTTTAAGTTGATGTGTGAACTCTTTAGCAAACAGTTAACATTATGATTCATGTGCAGTGGCGTCTGTGCGTGATATCTCTAAGGCCAGTATTCCCTCTTTTTTTAGCTGAGTTTTTAGTCTCCACCACCTCCTGAGGCAAATGTCTGGCTCTTAGTTGCTAAACACTCCACCGTGGGTCAGTCTCAAAAGCCTTAGTTACATCCATCTTTCCCTCACTTGCATCTTAGTCACATTGTCATTTACAGAATCACAAAAGCTTGATTATACTGCCAAGAACAATGTAAACATACTTCATTAGAGCAACAGCCCTGCATTTACAATCCTACTTAAGTAAAAGTATAAAAGCATCGTATGCAATTTGCAGAAAAATGGCCTGTGCATGACATATGGTTATTTAATAGAAGAAGAATAATTGTTGTTAATAACACAACTCAACTTGATGAGGGGGGTCACAAGCCAAAAATGTTGGGAACCAGTGATTTACCAGTATATTTTATAATCTGGTTTTTAAATGTAAAATCTTAATCTGAAAAACTACACTCGCCTGCGAAGCCAAGATACAGTCTTGCAGTTAAAATGTTGTTTTGACCAGAATCGGCCTGGAGGACATAGATTTATCCCCTTCATTTATTCATGCAGCAGAAATGAACAGAAAGTAAACAGCATGTTAAATGTACAGATGCATTTAGCAGCCAACCCAGCTAGGCTAGCTAGAGGGGCGACTGTGGTTTGGTGGGCGGAGCGGTTGTTTCCCAACTGGAAGGTTGGCGGTTCAAATCACGGTGCCTGCGATCCACATGTCAAAGTGTCCTTGGGCAAGACATTGAACCCTAAGTCGCCCCTGATGGTTAGAACCATCGGTGTGAGTTGGCACCACAGATGGCTGCCATCGGTTCTATACGGGAAACAAATTCCTTGTGTGTAACATACTTGGCCAAATAAAGGTGATTATCCTTATCCAAGAGCTGGAGCAGTGACCTGCTTAACAAAGTAGCGTGTGGTGAAAGAGCTGGAGCAGTAACCTGCTTAACAAAGTAGCGTGTGGTGAGGACAGCAGGCAGAACTCGGTTCGTCTTTACGCTGCGTCTCCAGTGTTACTCTGAAAACCCGGGTTGCTGTCTGCTGTTGCTACATATGGAAGCCTGGTGGTCCACACCAGACTGTTTCCATGGTAACCGGAGGTGGCGCTGAGGTGGAGGTAGTCATGCATGGCCTCCATAATCAGCAGCCCCACACAGCCATGCATCCATCCACTTACTTGTTGGCATTACAGTAGTAGATCCAGTGTGTTCATGCTTTTATGCTCTCCCCTCCTCAGGCGACGTGTTGCTCTGGAGCCAGAGAGTGAAGGAGTTCAGGCGGAGAGAGAGAAGGAGGCAGCGCTGTGAGTCCACGTTGAAACAGACATCAACTGACATGTCCCAAGTTCCCACTACACACTAATTTTAAACAGTTTTTAACCAGAAGTGCTTACAATAAAAAGCTTGAGTGTTATTGTTTCTAAAGAAAAACAGGCATCACCTTCCTCATTAGGGCATTGTTGAGGGACAGAGTTGTATTAATCCCTGACTGAAAGTAGTCCCCAACAAATGTACAGGTTCCTTCCCTTTGATGAACACTACAGTGGCCAGATGTCTCGGGAATCTACTGAGCCTTTTTTAAAGCATGAAACTATAAATGTGTGAGTTGATTTAAGGATTGACTGTGTGTCATCAGTATGAACCAGTCGTCAAAAGCACACAGAAACGCACAAACCATCTAATGAGTGAAGAACTTGTGTATACATCTGCAGAATCCACAGAACAATATCTGAGTGTTGCATTTCCACAGTGACACCCTGAGATCAGGATGTTGTCTCCACCCTTCAGGTAGTGTTCAGTGGCTCAGGCTGTGTGTTTGTGCTGCAGATGTTTGGAGTTCCTGCTGCAGAGCGGAGCGACGGCCTCTCTGAAGGACAAACAGGGCTACAGTCCGGTCCACTACGCCGCAGCCTACGGACACAGGCACTGTCTGGAACTGGTCAGTCAACAAACAGTATGTGTTGTGGTTGCACTGCAGGCGTCTTTTCCCTCTGTGGGCTGATCATCTGCACTCGCTGACATTCTCAACAGCATCTTCACAGGTTAAATCCATAGTATGAACCTTCTGAAGCTTAACAAAAAACAAAGCTAACAGCCACATAAACTAAACCTGGGGTGTCAAACTCAATCACACAGGGGGCCAAAACTCCAAGCTGGTCGCGGGCCGAACAGGATAAAAATGTATTGAACAGACTAAAACTAAACGTTTTTTGAACATAAATATGAATCGAAACA